TATATAGACACTCATACAGTGGCACACTCACGCACACATTCGTGTTGAATTATAATAAACCAGAAATGAGGCTCCGCAAATGCCGGAAATCGCTAGTCGGGCCCAAAAATCCTAGCCGGACTACGGACTACGGGCTTCAGACCCGGACCCGGACCCGGGGCACGTAAAATATACGAGCTCACGTACGTTCCGGTATTGCCGGAGTAAGAGCGGTGGATTACAGGCCGGGAAGGAATGGGGAGGAAGGGGGCGTGGCTGTGTGCCCCGATTGCCCTAACTTGTATTAATATCCATTAGATTTATGTTTGGCAAATGTAACCACAGAAATTACACTTTAAAGTCAGTCTCTATCGGCCCACTGGTCCTCTGGCCCTCTGGAAAATGGCCTGCAATTTTTCGTCGATATCGAAAATGGCGAAACCAACGGACAAGGTCGTTTGCTGTGGGTGGCTTACCACCTCTTCCCTTCTTTTTTTTCTGAGATACCTGATGGCTGAACCCCAGACCCCAGTCCCAGCCCAAGCCCAAGCCCACATTTGATATTGCCAGTGAGTTGTTTTAATAGCTCGGGTCGAGCTCATAATTAAACTTCCCAGGGACTACTATACTAAGACTCCCGCCCGACCCTGTTAGCCATCAGATCTCCCCTCTACCCTTTTTTGAATTTTTAGAAGCCATTCGGCAAAGGGTTTGGGCGAAAAACACGTATTCGGCACATACATTACGGACATTTCGCCTTCTTTGCCAAGTTATGGGCGACATGGACTTTAACACTTTGGTGCCACATTAAGGCTGCAAATTGTTAAACGTGGCCAGACCCAACCACCCAATCACCCAACCGCCCAGCCATCCAACCACCAAGACACCTGAGTGCAGAAGACAAGGACCATGAGTGGGCGGTGGTGTCAGAAAAGAGTTGGAGGCCATCGAGGGCAGGCGACTTATTACCCAAGTTCATTAGCATTTCGAGTCCTGGGCGCCACATCGAATGTCAGACACTTGACACTTGACATGGGAGAGGTGAGAGAGAGCGACCTAGAGGGGGTGGGGTGGCCAAAGGCTGGGCCTAAGGACTAGACTTTACAAAAATAAAAACGAGAATATCTCAAGTAATAATTAAGGTGTTTAAAGGCAATTTAAAAAGAAAGAAGCTTGCCTTGGCCTTGTTTTATTTAAATAATTTAAAAATCTATTAAAAATATATAAGAAATATTTACTAGATAAATATTAAAAAAATTATAAATACGAAATATTATTAGGATTATTTTCAAGAGTAAATGGTTCAACAGTATTTTCCAAAATGTACTGATTTTATTTTAAGAAAGCATTACTTTTCTAAGCATCTTAATTATGAAATCTTCAAACAAGCCTAATCTTAAATATATCTATTAAATATTTTATTAACAACTACTCCTTTTGCAGCTTGAAGCTATAAATATTTATTAAAGATTATCTGAAAGGGGCACACATTTTTGATTTGGGTTCTTCACATTCCACTATTTGTAGCCTGAATTTTCCGCATATTTTTCACCTGACTCACCTTTTTTTGCATTCCGTTAGTTGTTCGAAGTTGTTGTTGTTATTGCTTTTGGATAACATTGGAATGGCTATATATATGTATGTACCTTTGGGCCGACTTTAGACTTTAAAAGTGCCAAGAAGTTGAGACGAATTCCTGTTCACTTAAAGGGCCCTGGCAACTTTTCCGCAAGTTTTCCGCATTTTCATGGCAGTCTATTTGCTAAATCAAGAATGGGGGTACTGAGGTGGTACATAGTGGGTGGGTGGATGGCTGAAGAATCTGAGTGGGTGGGTGGGTGGTTGGGTGGAAAAAATAAATATGCCAGCCTTCAAGCTTTCAGATTCAGTTGGAAATGGAGATTCGAGATTCGAGACGGAGTTCGGACGTCACCAGAAGCCGGACGTAATGGAACCCGATGCGTCCTGAATTTTCTCCATATTTTTGTCCTCAGCCCCTTTACTCCCTTATTTCCCTCTACTTTCTCTCCTTTCTTCTCTGATTTCTTTTTTTTTTTATATATTTCACTTATTGATGAGTGGAAATGCTGTTGACATTATTTGTGTGTTGGCCGCCAGTTGGTCGCCCAATGCAATGCAAATTTGTTGACACAAGCCAGAGCCACCCATCTCCAGATATATTATACTTTAATATATAATATATATACATCTGATATCGGTTGGTATCTGTGTATATGTGTGTGTGTGTGTGTGTGGTGCTGGGTTACCCCCTCCAAATAGCCAAACACCCAAACCCCTTGCCAATCGTTTGCCCATGAGAATCAAAGTCTCGATTCTCGTAAAAATGATTCATGATATCGCATTATTTCCGTATCATTTGTAATTTCCAGTTTCCTGCTTATTTTCACCCACACCATCATACACACACACATACATACATACACTCACACACATACATATAAAGAGAAAAATAGAGAGAGATGGAAGAACTGTTGCAATTACTATCTATCTGGTATTTTATAACTTTTGTGCTCCTTCCTGCTACCTCGGCTACGTTTCTCCTTTTTATCCTTTGGGCTGGCTCCTTGGGCTCCTTCCTACTTCGTCTAGAACTGATTACAGCCACACAGTCACAGTTACAGTCGCACTAGAAGTCTCAGTAACCAGGCAAGCTGCAGATACAAAGATACAGATACACTGTTGAAAAAGATAGCTACGGTTTTTAAGTAATTTAACAATATTTTTCAGGTATTTTTCATAACAAAAAACATTTAACACCCTTAAAATTTTTTTAAAAATATTTCTTTAACTTTAATTATTTTTTTTAAGTGCTCTTAGCCACCCTTTGTAGTCATTGTAGCCCCCCTTGAGTACGCCACTGACATTCACATTCAGCGATGAAGTCACAGCAGAGCCACAGTTACAGGCGTTGCCATCCTCATCATCATGCTTCCCATTCCCCCCTCATACCTCATACCCCTTCGGGTCATAGATACAAAGATACTGCAGATACACAGATACAGATACACGTACTATATGTGCGCTCAACACTTTTTCTTGTAGTTTTTGATGAACATTTAATTGAATTCTTCTACTACACAGAGCTTTGTCTTCGCCATTGATGTATCCGTTCTGCCAATACACATACATATGTGGAGATATAAGGACATATATATGTATCTAAGAGATAGAGGGATATATAAGGAACGGATATATCCCACAGAGCGCACAATAAGTTATGCTTTCTCCAGCTTTTCTTTTGGCCTGTGGCTTTCCAGTGTGTGTGTGGCATCTAATTAAAATTGCAATTGGAATTTATCCAGCGACAAAAAGCCAAGATACACTACTACTTACTACCTAGTGTACCTGAGAGCCAGTATAAAGCTCTGAAAGTCGCTAGAAATTATCGGATACTGGTTGCCACAAAAAGCTGGTTAAGAAGATATCAGGTATATTACATTGAGAACGTTTTTCCAAGGACTTACAGATGTTGGATTATTGGCCAATGGGGTTCTCAAGCACTGGGAGAAATATTTGTTGGTTTGCTATAATTACTATATAGGTTTGTATAGGGTTTCATTGTATTTAAGATTTTATTATGATTTATTTACTGATGATATTCATATTCGTTATAGAGTTTAGTATAGGAGAAAATATTTGGTTAATCCTTTTATAAATTCTTTAATGAAAATGAAAAATCTATATCTTACAATAACAATTCATTTTTTCAGTCTCTCCGCTATTATTTAATTTACATCTTAAATCATTTATGAATAAAATCGATAAGCAGTTGAGGCAACTTGGCCCCCTTTAGCCGCCCCTGTGGCCACCTCGATTTTCCGCATTTTCAGTTTTCCCTTTGGGGCTAATTGAACGGGTTCCACAGTGACTGCATCTATGCAAATAGCCCGAGTTGCCCTCTCATCGTCTCAATTGCATTCAGCCACCCGTCCCCCCCAAGGAATTCTGCCACTTGTGTTGCACTACCTGCCCTCTTCCTCCACTTTTTGCCACCTCTCTGGAATTAAATAACCAGAACAGACCCCCCCCCTCTCTAGCAACAACAAGAAAAACAGAAAACGACAGCAATATCAAATAGTAAATAGATAAAAACAACATGACTTAATGAGTGGTATTTATTTTTATGCTAATTACTTTCGAATAAGCAGCATTTCCTGCAGGACTAAAAAAAAGGAGAGAGAGACAGGAGGGGAGCTTAGTTAGATTGGCAGGATGCCTGGGAATGGGTTGAGACGTGGGAAGAGGAGGAGGAGGAGGAGGCTCGTCTTAATGAGTGGGGCAATAATTGTTGTTGGATTCAGAAGCAGGACTTCTTAAGGCTCGGCACTTCATTTGGCCGTTGCCAAGGAGCAAGGACGAGACCGACTGAAGCTCTGGGGTGGCTGTGTGCAATGTTTGCATAAAGTAAATGCCATTATACAAGCAAGTTGTGCTGTAAATTCACTTCAAATGTACAAAAGCACTCGCCCTGAAAGCCGTAAAGCATGCGATATGACAGCGCATAAAGGATGCATTGGAGTTGGAGTTGGAAAAGCGCGGAAGGTCCTTAAAGACTTTAGCCCTTCTACTCATTCAGTTAATTTTATATATTATACATCTTTTGCATTTTATTTAATAAGGTTCTTATTTAAATATTGAACACAACATTCTTGGAAATATTCTTTAACATGTTTTATGAAGTTATCTATTTGTAAAATATTTTCTTGTATTTCGAGGTAGCTCTTACTGATATTTTTAGAAAGATGTATCTGTAGTGTTGATCCAGCTTCTATTCTTCCGGATAATTTTGTAACAATCTCCAAAAGATCTTAATTAAGACTTAAGGATATATTTGCCAAAAATTATAGCTATTTTAGTTTCTATTTTTAAGAATAGAACTCGTAACTATTTTGTGGAATATTGTGTCATCTCTTACAATCCTGATTTAGTTTTAAAACTGACTCCTATATCTTCTTCTGTATCTTCCGAAAAGTATCTGTTCTTTCAGTAATTTTGTTTCTTGGAGTTGGATAGCAGTTGGGGTCACTACTTATTTGAAGCTTGCAGTGACAGTTGGATTGGTTTTCTTGATATACTCGTGAAGTATCAACTCCAGCTGGACCTTCTTCGGGTCGCTGCCCTTGCTCTTGCCCATTTGCGCCATTTCGCTGTAAGTGACCCAAAGGGCGTGCTTATGCTTGGGCAGCTGCTTGCCATCCAATTCCGGGTGAATCATTCCGGAGTTGACCACCTGCCGGAGTGCGCTGCGGCACTCTGACATGGTGCGATCGTAGACCGTCATGGTGATGTGCAAGGGACGAGTACAGTACGCGCTCTGGGTCCAGAACAGGAACATGTCCAGCTCCTCATTCTTGATAGCCTTGGGATCATCCTTTTTCTGGTTATCCAGCCACTCAAAGAAGTAGCAACGGCGCACCAGGACCAACACCGGCAAGTACTCGGCCAAAACCTCTGCATCCTTGGCCTCCGGCTTGAAGCGATTCAAACAGCACAGGCCGCGATTCGCTGGCAAACCACCGGGATCATCCCTCTTGCCGCCGTACAACAGGACACCCAGGAAAAAGGTCTGCTGCGGCTTCAGTTGGGTGAGGTCGAACTCCATGACGGTGCGCTCCCCCTCGAAGGTCAGGTTCAGTTCCTCCTCGTCGGCGGAGGTGGGGCGCAAGTGCTGGGCGAGCACGTGGCCGAGGATTTCCGAGGACGTAATGGTGGCCTCGCATTCACCAAAAGGACACCGAAGTGGCATGCGATTTAATTGTTCCACATTTAGTTCCTTGGGGACGCACACCTTTTTCTTTTTATCGTTCAGCTCCATTGTCTGCAAAGGTTATATATATATTTTTATATAAATTATTAGGTTATTTATATAAATTTTAGTTTTTAGAGATTTTATTTTTAGAAATAAAAATTGTTTAGAAAATATTACGCAGAAATCAGTTGTGAGTTTGTTGAGAGATATTTCTCGAATGGTAGTTATTTCATGTGAGTTTGAACTTGTCAAGTGACTTTTCTTTCAAAGGCCTACTTTCTCAATGAAACTGTGAAGATTTTGTTAATAGATTAATATTGGCGAGGTCTACTGGGATGTTTTTTATTTTAAATGTTATCGATAGGGCACTTTTTCGATATAAATTTTTATATTTGGACACGTCATCTATGTGCATATAAAATATTCTAATGGTTATCTGCGAGTCAGTCTCTTGCAGCGGATTTATGGCTAAAACAGTCAGAGAGTTAATGAATTAATGATGAAATAATTAATAAATTTAATCAAACTATAACCATTAATTTTACTAACTAAATCTTAAGAGTCTCTCTACAGTTCCTCTTTAGCCAACCAACAGGCACGTATTAAAAGCCATATTTGTTAAATATATACTTTTATTCCACATATTCCCCCCTCATTTAAAGAAAAAACATCTTAATTTTTTTTTTTTGGCCAGTGTAATTAAACAAAAACAAAACAAATACATCAAATTTAGCACGTATGTGTTGGTTAGGGACAGTGAAGTGCAAGTGCAAGTGTATATGTTGACATTCCAAAATTCTAAGTTCTTCCGCGCCGGTTGTGTATCGTAGATGGATAAAAGTGACTGCGACTGTATTGTATTGGCATTTGTAGTGTTATTTTTTTTTTTTGTGTAACCGCTTCTTAATAAATTTAGGCTGCCATTTGAAGTGTTCTCGTCTCGTCATCTAGGACCTCCTTCCTTCTGTCATCCATCTTTTGATTAGAGTTGGTTTTTCCGCTTGCGGCCCGGCCGCACGGAGTAGACATCCTCGGAGAAGAGCCGGCCCGCTCGGGTAGCCGCCAGGAGTCGTCGTTCGTGGACCTTCCGGTGCTTGGTGAGGTGATCCGAGCGGGCGAAACTCTTGGCGCAGTAATCACACTTGTAGGGCTTGACCCCGGAGTGGGATCGCCGGTGGCGGGCCAGTTCGTCGGAGCGGGAGAACCGCCAACTGCACTCTGGCCAGACGCAGGCGTAGGGTTTCTCGCCAAGATGCCTCCGCAGGTGGGCTTTCAGGTGGGCGGGCTTGGCATACAGTTTTTCGCAGTTCCCGAAGGTGCACAAGTAACCGCCGCCGCTGCCGTCCGACCCCTTGCGATGCGGGTGAGGGTGCTGCGCATAGTATTCCGGGGGCGGAGGCGGTGGTGGTGGCGGCGGCGGGGCCTCCCTGCTCGAGAGCCTCAGATTACTGTTGCTCTCCTCCAGGAAGTCTGTACAATTGTCCGTGCACAGTGGCGTCCGCTCCGGCAGAAAGTCCACCAGCTCGGGAATCTCCACGAAGTTGTCCAGTAGTCGCTGCTCCCAGTCGCACAGGTCCGGACCCAGGTCCTCAAAGTCCAGAAAGATGTCCTCCTGCTCCGTACTAGCATTATTATTACCGTCCAGGGTAATAATGCCGTAAAAGTCGTAGCCCGCGGATGGGGCCTCAGACTCTCCCTGTTCCTCAGGGTACGGGGTATGTAGCTGGATCATGTCCTCCGCGGTGCTCAGCAGCGAGTACGAGAACGATTGCTCGTCCAGGTCGCTGTAGAGCTGCTGGAAGCCGCCCGTCGCAAAGAAGTCCATGATTGCAAATGGAACTTCTCCGGACGTAGGTCCAAACATTTATAAAGCCGGACTCGCGGACACAGACTCTCCAAATCAAAGTCAGAATCGTAACACCCGACGACGAGTTGTGTTTTTTTTTCGTAGAGACTGAAATTATACCCTGGTATGAGTTTTTTTTTCAACTTTTGTATAACAATTTTGTGTTGGCCTTTTTTTTTTTGTAAAAATTAATATTATTCTTAGAAAATATATTTCAATTAAATTTGATAATATTTTCTTAGAAATTTGGAACTTTATACTTTGCACTAGTTGAGCACACGATCTTTCCTCTAAAAAGGGCGAAGATAAACTGAATTTTGTTTCAGGGGCTCAGTCCTAGGTGGAAAATTTGATAGATTTGGCCAAAAGCACAGCCTACTTGTTAACAGTATTTCAAATTATTTTTGGAAAGGTATTTTGACTAAAAAAAGTGACAAAAAAAAAAAAGTGTTGGGAAGTTAGAATACGGACATAGGACATTACTTTCACTTTAGGCTACAAACTCTTACTCTCTTTAATTTTTTAGAGAATATACTAATATATTTTGAAATATATTATTTTTCTTTTATTTTCTATTAAAATTCTATTCAAATAATGGATACCTCACCAGTCTATAGTTTTTATCCACTTCTGCCTTCCGAGATCCGAAGAGATCGACACCGTGGTCCCCCTGGGGAATAATTAGCCGGCGATCGTGGCTAGACCGCCGCGCCGGCCTCATTAGTCCCCTCCACACTCGCCCCACCCCTTTTCACGCTTCTCTTCTCCGGCGGAGTGATACTGATGGAAATCCGTACGGACTCAGATACTACGCCAGATGTTTGCCATTGATCTCCGAGCGACACATGTGCGATTTTTTCCGAGTTTCGAGTGCCAAGTGGTGTCAGGCCGCCACCTGACATGCCCTCCCTTTCCATCGCTCTCTATCCATCTCTTTCGACATTTACAATTACCATCTATCTGTCTCTCTTTGATAATATTTGTTTCCCGCTTTTGTTATTGTTTTGGTTTCGGTTTTGGTCATAGACTATCAATACAAATTTGTTATTAATTAATGACAATTACTGCGAACTAGATATGCCCCGGGGATATAGATATAGGGACATACATACCATATATATATATATCTATTCTTTAATACATATTTATATGTAAATTCCCGTTTGTTTTCAGAAATCCAAAAACAATGGCAATCTGTATGTGTGTCAAGTGAGCTGGTGATTAGGTTTTAATTTCATGAGAATGGAAATTTATTTATCTGCAAGTATGTTTCCCTTTCCCTGGCTTGGCAACGGTTCATTTAAAACAAAATCTGTTTATTAATATGTATATTTTTTTTGGGATTTTTTAATGTTTGTTATTAAGAGAAAATAGATAACAAATGGTAGATAATTGTATTATAATTAATAGGGAATTTCTATTTAAGAAAGATGTGCCTAAAACCATTCTTTTCAACCCGTTTCTGCCTTCAAACATCTTTATTTCTTTTGGCTGTTTGTGGCACTTTCATTCCACTTGCCACTTTCTACTTGCCTACTTTCTCTCCCTGTGGCTCCTGCCACTTATCTATGCCATTTCGACATCCCTTTTTTTTTGTCTTTTGCTGGCAGCCCTTTCGGAAAATTAACATAAATTTAACGTGCGGCTGGCGTTTAAATTTACTTTCGCCTAATGAAATAATCAGCAGCTGTAAATCCTTATGGGCTATACCATCCTTGCCAGTTATTCCTTTTAGCTGGCTGGATGGCTGGTTGGCTGGCTGGCATTCAGGCCTTCTCATTCTCATCTGGCTTTTTTGGCAGCGAATTTTGCCACGGCCTACGCGTTTTACGCTAATTGATATTGCAAAAATCAAAGGCTGCACGCGGGCATTAAAAGGATTTAAGGGTTTTTATCAACGGCGGTGTGGGTGGTACGATTGTACACCGCGGAGTCTGTTGTTTTGGATCTGATATCTGGCTATGACTCGGTTCCTGACTCTGGCAATTTGTAATTACGAGTATTGCGATTCTGATTTCTCGCCCCAGCCAACTTTGTGGATGTGCCTGGGGTTGCTTGGGGCTCATTTTGGGTTTAAATTAGTATGCTGGCTGCTGGCGTTGAGGAATTCTGGTATTTTGGTATTCTGTCATAGTTCCTAGTTCCACTTACTTACAGATCTATTTTCATATTTAAACATACACTAAAAGAAAGTATGAAGAAAGGGAAATTCGGGAGTAAGTAATCCTAGACCTTCGGAGTATTTTATGTGGTTTGAAATGCTATATCACCTGTATGTCTGTTATCATATATCTTTCTCCTTAAAAACTTTCAAAATATTTTCCCCTAATTTCTTTCAGTCTTTGGAGAAATGTGTAACCAAATTTATCTCTGCATCGGACTGCAAATACATATTTCTCTTGAAACGTATGTAGGCCGTACCGCAAGTGTCATAACGGAAATTATGCATACAATTTTACTGTAAATTGCACTTGGCAAAATGTTGTCACCTAAAACCCTCTACCATACCCACACAATCCTCGAGCAATTATCGTTTAAATCGGACATTTTGATGCCAGTTCTCAAAGTATTTAGGAGGCAAATCCAAAGATTCAAAGGGGGCAGCAGGCAAATGAGTTAAGCGGCTGTCATTCCGATTCCGAATCGGAAACAGGCTGCAAGTGGATGGGACATTACACAAAAATATATATATATATAAGGATATAGACTCGTAAATCAGAGTTGCCCAGTTAGTTGAAGTTGGCCCTTATCAATCGCAGCTGAGCTGCTTGTTTTCATTGGATTAGACAAGTTTATTTTGCTTTCGAAGTTGGCCAAAAAGTAGAGACAGAGAGAGAGAGAGAGATTCATGTTGTGCGGCTTACTGTTGTGGCAAATTAAATGTATCTGTATCTGTGTCGGAATCTGTGACCTCTGACAATTCCTCTGCTTTACCACACATGCCGAATTTATAATCCTTATGATTTCCCATCAATGGCTGTTGTAACCAAACATTTTTGCACATTCCTAGCTCTGTCCCTGGCAAGAGGATTAGGCAAAATGTTCAATTTTGCATATGTAACACTTAATTGCATCAATTTTTGTGGTCTAGCCTGAAATGGTGGTAAGCATAAGCATAAAAATAATTTTAATTTATTGTTTATGTACTAAGTCTCCTATCAAAGGACTAAGAATTAGTACCCTCCTCCTCGATTCTAATAGTTTGCACTACAATATATTTTTTTAAAGTTTATTTTAATTGCTATAAATATAAGAATATGAACTCAAATATAGTTGCCAGGGTAAATAGGGATACTAACCTTGTAGGATAAGTTAAATAATCTATAATTTTTTAAAGGAAAACATGTTAGTTTTCATAATAAAAATCCGAAAATAAAACCACTCATATTTCCTTTGCCTACTTTCAAGGGCGCCAAGAAGTACAATAGCAATAAAGAGGACAATTTTATGGTTTTTTTGCATATAATAACATTGCCGAAGATTTGAAGATTTTCTAGAAATTTAATAAAATAATAAAATTAATTAATTAAAATAATAGCGCCCTCCTCCTCGATTCTCAAAGGTTGCACTTAAGCTAGCCGCAAAAGTCGGAAAAAAGTTTTGTTTTTTTTTTAAGTTTTGTTGTTTTTCTTGTAAATGTGTTAAAATTGGTGCTGAATTGTGGTAATATTTGTTGTTGTATCTAAAGTTGTAGTGTTTGTTGTCTTTGTGCTTTTGTGGTTGTTGTATCTTGTTGTTATTGTAATTTGTTGTTGTTGTAATTTGTTGTTGTTGTAATTTGTTGTTGTGGTAATTTGTTGTTGTTGTGATTTGTTGTAATGTGTTTTTGTTGTTGTAATTTTTGTTGTAAATTTTTTTTGTTGTAATTTTTTTTGTTGTAATTTTTTTTGTTGTAATTTTTTTGTTTTTTTTTTGTAAGTTTTTTTTTTTTAAGTCTTTTTTTTTGTAATTTTTTTTGTTATAATTTTTTTTACCAATTTTTTTTTTATTTAAAGGTACTGTGAAAAAAATCATTGGATGGCCAGAAACACGTGTCCGTTCCACAGGGCCACCGCTCTGGACCTGGACGGTTATCTCTTCAGCCTTATCCCTGTGCTTAACAAGATCCTGGAGATCCTGGAAGGTTTATCCTGCTCATCATTTTGGATTCAGATCGGGACAAAAAAACATCAACACTACACAGATAGTATAGGGTAAGTACAGGGGAAACCTTACATACCATTTATTGTTTAATTATGTACCTGCCATGTTTAGTTTTAAAAATATTGTTTTTATAAAGTCATAAAAAAGTAATTTCAAGAAGGACATGTTTATGGAACACCCTGCAGTTAAGAATTAAAACTAAGCTACATAAAGGCTTTATTTTTATTTAAAATTAATGCTCAGTTTCGTGGAAATTCCCCTTCATAACTGTTGATAAATTTCCGCACACGCCACTGACTGTTGGACACTTGAAATTAAAACAGTGTTGGCCCTTGGCTGCACATTGTCTTGGCCAGGCTGGCATTCCCCAATTAATTATACAATTTAGCCATGAAGCGCTGCCGAGAACTTGGCCAAGAACTTTCAAAGGGGAAGTCCAGGGGAGAACTGGCCGAGAACTGCCAGTCCAGATGCAGTGCCTCAATGCCAATTTTGTGCAGTTTCTGTGGGAGGGCAACAGGTCAAAAGTTTTCCGGCCAACAGCTAACAGGCTAAGAAGTCGGACTACCGATTCGACAGCAGGGCTGGCAGGGCGGGTAGGAGTCACTGCCGTGCAGTGAAAACTTTTAATAAACTCGCCAAAAGACAATATTTTGTAAGAGATGAGGACGACGGCAACTAACCGAAGGGCGAGACCAGGACAATAATTTGATTTTGGTGTTGGCCTGAAAGCAATTTGTTATATGTATACTACATCCTACATGTCGTAGGATGTCGTATGTCCTTTGGTCCTTTGGCCAAAAAACAATTTGGCACACAGGACAGATACCCATGTATTTACGTATGACACTGGCCAGGTGTCTCAGCCATCCGAGATTAAGTCAGATGCAAACGTAATCCAAAGACAAGTGAGTTAACTGGTTTGACCCAATTTAATTAGACACATGGCTCGGGGCGCCATTAGTATTAGTATTAGCATTAGCATTAGTGTTGTGTAGTACAACCCCTGGTATTTGTCTTGTTCTCGCCACCAAAATTGAGCTATTCGGTGGCCGAGGCATGGATGTTTTTTCGGTGGGTTGGGGGGGAGACCATGGACTACATGGACTGAGCACTACATGTGTCTCTGCCAGTATGCCAGGAGCAAAGCTAATGCCAATGCCAGGACATCGTTTAG